TTGTTTCCACAGGCAAGGTTCTGGTGCACTGTGCCATGGGTCGCAGCCGGTCAGCCACACTAGTCTTGGCTTACCTGATGATCTACAAGAACATGACAGTGGTGGATGCCATTAAGCAAGTATCAAGACACCGATGCATCTTGCCAAACCGTGGCTTCTTGAAGCAGCTGAGAGAACTGGACATAGCACTGGCACTGCAGAGGAGGAACAGCAAAAACAGCCTAGTACCTGATGACGAGCAGAACAGCACCACGATCTAGTATTGCTCCTGACAGGGCTGTGCTACTGGAAAAGAAATTCCATAAAAGGAGGGGAGGGGAAGGTGTAGTTAATTACACAGTCACAAGGATCATTTGTTATTTGGTAGAAAAAACACAAAGTCATTTCAAATGCTGTTAAGATGAGAAAGAAGCCAAATTTAAAACCCACCATCTTAGAAGTTCCAGCCTTAACAGAATTCTTTGTTACATGAACAAGTTTTTCTCTCTGTAAAAAAAAAATAATCTTTTACTGCAAAAAAATGAGGCTCAACTTAAAACTCTCTTCCAGCTGAGTACCCCCAAAATCCTGATCCTAATCCAAGCACACAGCCTTTAAAGGAGTTCTGCTAAGCACTCCTGAAGAAAATCTGCAGAAAAAACACTGATGAATTGTTTAGTCCCAGAGTTCTGAATGATTTCACAGGAGTTTGCCTTTTTGTGCTGTTTCCTGGCATCTCCATTTCTTCTTTCACAGTAATTAATCTAAGGCAGCGTTTAGAGAGCCTCCACATGAGGATCAAGTACTCAGTCTTCACAATGAAGTTTGCAGCACATCAGGGAAACTAGAAACAAAGCAACACCCTTGAGAAGGTCAGATGCATAAGCAGCTACATCAGACAACAATCCAAGGAGATTCACTCATGACATTTTAGCAGTTTCAGTTTTAACTTGCTTAACTTGTCCCAAATACATACAGAATCCAAGTCAATATACTACGCCAAAAGTAAAGAAATAAAAATCCTTTCCATTGTTATGAGGAAGTTCAGGGCTGAGCTTGTGAAGTGCTAATAAGCCCCAAGTAATAATGGATTATAACTAGTTCTAATGAGATTTAGATAAGGCAAGAAAATATAAAAATCTCAGTGACCAGACTAACGAGGAGAAAGCTGCTGCTGTGCTTCCAGACACTGTTTATAGTTAGCACTACCAAATGTTTCCTCCTATCTCAGCTTTAGTCACCTTAATAGGCTACTGTGCTCCTGTATAGTTGCTAATAATCACATTTGCTAACACAAGTGGTTCAAATACACTAATGGGGACAACAGATCTACTCTTCTGCCTAAACTTATTCCATTTACCTTGTTTGATATAAATTATCAGAAACTGTTTTGATACAGAGTTTTGCAACTCCAGCAGGATTTGATATTCTTAAAATGTACTGTAGAGGGATGAACACAATTAAGCCATGTTTACCTTCCCTGCATCTGCAAAAAGGTCAAGTCATCCCCCTCCCCACCAGAATTTTGCCTAATGCAGTGCATTGGCTAAGAGCTGCTTGCTGCCTCAGTGCCTGAGAGGAACGACCTGGCCACCAAGTGCACAGTTCACTTGGTCTTTACCAGCTAACAAAAGATGTTGCAACTCCAGTGCAGTATGAACTGTACAAGTCTTGAGCACAACTTGATACCATTTTTTTGTAGACGTTAACAGCTCTTTGCAGGCTTAGCATCTCTAGTGTGAAGTCCTTCCTATTCCTTGATTTCCATTTGCAGCTCAAAACCCAATAAATCATTCACCCCAAACACTGTCGCCAAGGTTGCAAACACCCATATTACAATGGCTTTGATTTATAATTTGTATTTATCTGCAGAATAAATACCTTATCTTCAAATCCTCCAAGAAAGCAGATTGCAATTAAAATAACTAAACTACTGCTAAAAAACAGATTAGACACTACAATGCGAACAATATTCATGACAGAGATATACAAACTCTGGACTTTCAGCAAATTAAATATCCCTTCACCTGGATTAGAAAAGCCAAACAAAACAAACAAACAAACAAAAAACCTCAAAAAATAAAATCAAACCAAAAAACACCCAGAAAAAACATAGGAAACTCAAAGCAATTTGACACTTTAAGAGTAAATGGGCACTCACAATGCGGGTTTAGAGTCAAAATATTCTTGCATAGGGCCCCTCAACTCTTTCCATTTCCCTCCATAGACCTTCAAATGCACCTTTTCAGACCACCTTAGTGTCTATTGAGTTCAATGACAACCCAGACATGCCACAGTTCTCCCAGCCTTGTGTCTAACAAACCTGCCTTTCTGGTATGTGCTCTTCATTTACACTGATGGTGAAGCTGAACATTCTCACCTCCATGGCAGCAGCTGTTTCTTAGCATTAGCTTTACAGACAGGAACTCTGTACGAAACGATATACTAAAAGATAAGAAATATCCACAAGGAATTCCCTCAGTCAAGTTGCAGGTTATCTTTGCTCTTGTATCCTGCACAATAGCTTGATGACTGCTGTAACTGAAAGAGGATCTGCAGTTGATTTACATGCATAATTGATCACTCTCAGCACTACAGAAAATTGCCAGGGCCATTCTATTTACCATGCTGGAGTTTGTTCCACCAACCAGCCTGCCTGATGGACAAATTAAACAGCTTATAAAACTAAAGACACAGACAGTGATCTAACATGAAAGATCAGAATCTTTCGCAGTCCTTTGTTTCTGCTTACATCACAGAGCTTCCTAGGAATTTAGTAAAAAATTGGTTATATTTTGTCCACTGCTAGGGGAAGAGGTAGCCTGAGTGCAAGAACACTTACCATTCTTGTCTTTGCTTAAGGGCTAGAGAGCAGCTTTCAGGAGTACTGTCATTTGGCAGCTTCCCCATGAAGGTTCTGCTCAAAACACAAGTATCTTTGCTAGAACCAGGTCTTGCCTGAAGGACTCAGCTGCTACAGCTGTGCCAATTAAGCAGTTCCGTAATAAACATATTTCTCATTACTTCCCAGCTTTTTTGCCTACCATTCTGCCAGAAGCAATTAGATTAAATCAGCAGAAGCTCTGGAACACATGACTTCCACAAAGTAGGCAACTCTTGCTAGCTGCTAACTAGCTAACAAGTGTCAGCAGCACTGACTTCACCTGCCACCAGGTCTGCAAGCGACACACATACAGAACGAGGCAACTTTATTTCCTTCTTGCCAGTCACCAGTGGCACAGAGTATTCTATCTGTCAAGCCCAAGACCAAGACTGCATGAGCATTTCACAAGAATCATCTATTGCAATTCTGTGAAGAATTCTTTGGAGACACTAAAAGAAGAGCCAATGCTCACCTGGGATGGTGCTAGAGCACAAAATCAAAACTGACATGGGCACACAGCACATACAAGTAATATGCCAAGGAAAACACAGCTTTCTTATAAACCAGAAATTTCAGTGCAGTAATGCGATTTACAGCTAAATAGTCACTACGAGAAAGATGTCGGAGAGCCACTTGTACTCCTGCAAGGATTTCAATTCTGAAATAACAAAATAATATTGGAAAATTGCCTGCTGGGCACACACTATACATCATTTTTCACCCAACTTTTGATCCATAAATTGTAAACACAGAATTCCAGCAATATGCTGGAGTCGGGATGCACCATTTCAGGTCAGCACACACTTGAAATGCTAAGAAGGTCTGCTCGTGTATTACAGGCTTGGAAACTTGAAACTAAACAGCAGTAGATAAAGACCCAGGTGTCTTTTTCATTCACTGCAAAAGCACAAAAGATAATGCTACTTTGAGATGCAATTATTCGACAAAGATATGGTCCTAGCTAAACACACTTGAAGGCTGCACATAACTGTATTGAGTTGAACTTTGCTTTTCCTAAGCATAAAAAAGGTGAGTTACTTTATGAAGATGAAAATATAGTTTAAGCAATACGAATACTCTCTGCCTTCAGTAAACAAATTTGACAGTGTAAGTGTATGAACCAAGTGTACTGTGCTCTCCTTATCAAGTGTTCAGAACTCCTAAAACATAAGTTACTCCAAATTACCATTTGACCAGCAATTTTTGCACCCATTGAGACACACTATTTTAGATTGCTGCTCCATTGTACTAAAATTGAACAGGTTGAGCACATGAATCTGTAGTATCAGTTTCTTGATTTCTCAACAACACACACTAAGGATTTTATTTAATGAAATAGACATTTTTCTGACTATCAGGCATATAAAATACTACCTATAAAAACCATTTTATATACTGGAATGGGGACACAATTTCTGTCAGAATGACCAATCCTTTCAGCTTAGCTAGCCCCCTTCCTGCAGTGTCAGTGGGCTGGAGGGAGGATTCAGTGGCAACATTCAGATTAGAAGCATTTAAAAAAATTACTACAAGGATTTTTTTCTGGTGTTGATTCACACATACCCCATTTGAACTTGTCCACTCATGAGCTCCACTTACAGACAACCTTTTTGATTTTTACAGGCTTTCTGTTCCTAGATTAGAAGTGTTCATCCGTGTGTGTGTGTCTGTGAGTGCCCATACACATGCATATACAAAGAACTTTCAGGTTCAACACAAAATTTCTATCATCTTGCCACCCAACAATAATGACAAAGGAAGAGATTACAATTCTGTCATTAAAATACAGTTCAAACACCATGTCTGTTACTATCATATATCCTTTTATATATATTAACACTTTCTATCAGAAAGAAGTTTCATACATTAAATATTGACAACCTTGTAATGTATTAAATACATATTTATTCAATATTTTATTAAGATTATTAAAAAAATAATCTTAGATCATCTTTATTTTCACAAGGTGTATGCAATTATGATGAGTAACCTACACTTAGGCTCTAACAACCTAATCCAAACCCCACAAACTTTAATGGGCTTTAGATCAAGCATGTGAGAGCACCATAACAAACACTGTTTCAGGAGGTAATTCCCATGCAACATCAAACTATGACAAGACACAAGAGGCTAAAAATGGCTCATCATAATTTATTTTATGTTAAAATGTACAGCTTGGGAGGGGGGTGTTGTTTTTTGCAGTTTTTATTTTTGTTGCTTGGGTGGGTTTTTTGTGGGTATTTTTTTTTAAGTGACTGACTAAAAAGATAACAGATAAATACAAGAGTGTCACTGGGTCCTATTTTTACATGTATCAAGCCTCTTCTGTTCGGCCCTTACAGTCACTCTGTACAGGTACAAAGGCTACAAAAAGGAAGCAATATAAACAGACACAAATAACTTTTGCCTTTTTACATGCGATCTGTAAGCTTAGTTTGAGCTATTCACACGCTACTGCTCTATTTTTTTCCCTTAAAAAATAACTCCAATATTTTATAAAGATAGAAAAATCTACAGATGGAATGAAAATGTAAAGTTAGAGGCATTTCCATAAAATAGCAACTTTACACCAAATTCACTACTTTTTTTTTTTTTTTAAATCCTGCCAAGTATTTGGACATATACGAAAATGTTTCAAAACTTGACAAATAAACACTGAGATGTTTTGATCAACAAAAAAACATAACAGTATTTATAAAACAGAAAGCTGCCTTTTTTCCTATCCCAGCCCCAAAGAAACTGGTCACAAAAATGGAAAAGAGTCTCAACTTTACACTAAACATACAGCAATAAAACCCTTTGAACTAACCAAAATGTGAATAGCTTTTTGCAGCTTTTTTTATTATTTTTACAAGTTTTATAATTAACAAAAATATAGTTCTGGTTTTTTTACCCTTCAAACTAGGGTAACCCAATCAAGGCAAAAAAATTAAGAAATGGCTTACTGTTAAGCACAACACTTGTACAGTACTACAAAATGCACTGTCACTAACAAAGACATTAGCGGCATGCAGAAGTGTCACCTTCAGAAACAAAATAATACAATAAAAGAACTGCTAAAAGGCATTTACATGTGGGGAAAGGAGAGAGAAAAAGCTCATGATCCAGTACTGTCTGATAGTTTTGGAGTCTATTTATCCACATTTTTAATGGGAGCAGGCACATAAAATGGCTCTGAACCATCAGCTGCTGTGTAATTGCAGTTCATAGAAAGAGTTCTTCCTTTCCAGAGAATTTCAAGCTCAATGAAATAAAAAATGGAAAACCACTTAATTCCCCCCAAAGAAAAGAGAAGTTAAATCTCAAAGTTAAAAAAAAGCAAAACAAAAAAAACTGAAAAAAAACAAAACAAGAAATAAAGAAAAAATTGTATAAGGCTTTCTGCTGCATACAGCTTTTAAATGGTGCCAACAAATGTTTTTGCATTCACACCAATTGCTGGTTTTGAAATCGTACTCTCCAAAAGGTATTTGTGCAGATCAATCCGATACGCCAGTTTGGTAGTGTCTCTCCAAAGGGCCTACCTTCTCATGTAGGATCCATTGAGAGACTGCTTAGACATGCCTGTATTCATGTAGCCGTGATGGCCCGGAGGAGTGTACATCATGTTACTGTGGGGTGCTGTCTGCATTGGCTGCTGTGCATATGGCTGAGTTCCCATCATCCCCATCTGCATCTGCATAGGGTACTGGGGTGTTTGATTCATATACCCATGATTACTGTGATATCCACTATTCATCATTGGCTGGGACATGCTATAACCATTCATAGCATTAAGGGTATTCATATTCATGTTCACTGAATTGACATTATAAGCTGGGGCTGGCATCAAATTTACACTCATGTTCATACCACGCTGCATTGTTAAGGTCCGTGCAGGCCCTTGCATGGCTACAGTCTGTGAAGCACGCCCATAAATTTGTGGCTGATGGGCTGCAGCAGCAGGTGGCAGAGGCGTGGATTTGGTTCTTACAGAAACATGACCTTTGCTGGCCATCTGAGTCTGCAGTCTTTGGGTGTGGGAGATTCCAATATTCGATGAAGTCATATTACGCTGCAAAAGGGGAGGTGGCAAATTCATAGGAGGAGGAGTAAGGTTTGGGGGAGGGGTCATGGTAGCCTGTGCTTGGGGTCCTCCAGGAACAGCATGTGGAGACTGAGAAAGCTGGACAAGCCCTGTGTTACTTAAGGGGGCGGACAAAGAGGCACTGTTTGCATAGGAAGTTACAGCAGCTGAATGGCTGTAAGGCAAAGAATGATCCATAAGCGTGTTAGTTAACTGTTGCAGTTTGGCAAGGCTAAAGGTGGCAGATGGCTGTGAGTAATGCCCTGCTCCAAATTCACTCTGCCCCATTCTTTCATATAATCCAATGTTGGCATTGCTAGCCTCAGGGATTTCAGTCAACTGCATAGGTGGTGTAAAATTAGCAGCCATGCTGCACTGGGATAACTGTTGGTTGCTGCTTGGAGGTCTTTCAACAACACAACCTTGGGGAGATTTTACATTACAGGTGGGAGGAGAATTGATGTTTGCTTGTTGCATCATACTGCAGCTTCCATTAATGCTAGACATCTGCTGGGTCACTGCACAGCTACTCTGAGTTAGGTTACTAGATGTAAGGCTACTGTACGAGCAACTGTTTTGAGAAGAGTTGTTTCCACAGATGCTACTACCCATCGTAGAATCATAACTGCTTGGGTTCTCATAGTTTTCTGTTGTGCTCTCAATGCTTCCTAAGTCACTAAACCCACTGTCCACAACTTGTTGTGAATGATCAGAAACTGAGGGAACATCCATCATTGGGCTGGTCTCCATGTTCTGTAGAGACGGCACAGAAATGGCACTTTGATCTGGGCTAATCTGAGCATAGCTGTTCTCTAAGGGAGCAACATTTGGACTACTAACAGAACGAACTGACTGGCTAGGATGAGAGTGCACAGATGAAACTGGGCTACTGTGGTCAGACTGCTGACAATCATCCAGTGTGGTCATTTGGGGACTTTGGTCATTATGGGCGTAGTTTTGCAAACTTCTACATGCCTCTTGAGTCTCTGCACAGTCCTGAAATGTATCTTCATGTTCACTTGCTTCTTGGGTTAGAGACTGTACTGCTTGAACCGTCTCTGAGTCAATCTCCATAGCCTCAGTACTCTCTCCCTTAAAATCGGAATGTAATTCTTCACCAGCTTTTTGGTCCTGGTTGTTATCTGTATGATCATCATCAGATTCAGGCACTGGGTCTGAATCTGTAGCAAGTTCTTTCTGGTCACTTTCACACTCATCAGCTGCAAGGTCAACACCACAATCCATTAAGTCCTCCTGATTTGAATTACCAGTTTGAACATTTACCTCTAAAAAAGATTGCTGTGTTTCCAGCATTTCTTTGAAAGCTTCACCAGGCAATTCCTCTTTCTCCACTTCTGTTGAACCCATGTGGCTATCATCTTCATCATCTGCATCATGATCCTCATTGTGAGAAGGTTCTTCATCCTCCTCCTCCTCTTCCTCCTGATCATCCAAATGCACAGACTCCTGTTTATGCACAAACACTTCTTCTGCTTTGTCTTTTTCTTGATCTTTTGAATTGATTCCACCTTCTTCTGCACTGCTTTCTTCTTCCTCAGCTTTCATAGTATCATTTTCTTGTTTTTCAAAGGGTTCACTGGGTGGATGCAGAGGTTCAGGTTCTACCTCTTTTACCTCATCATCTGGTACTGGTAATACTTCAACGGGTTCTTTAACAGGTTCCTCCGTAACAGCAGGAACAGGGCAGGGCTTGTCTTCAGCTACTTCCTTTTGTTCTTCCACCAGCACCTGATAGTCAGGCTCCATAGGAGTCTCAGGTGGAGTGTATAAATTAAGCTTAAAGCCAGGTTTTCTTTCTTTGCTTTGCCTCCATTTAGATGGACCACGCTTAACTCCTTTGGGCCAACCCTGCTTACTCTTTAAAGGTTCAAGATTGTCTTTAGTGCTTTCTTCCAACACAGCTACATCCTCTGCATTATCTTTGGGAGGCAACAGAGACAAAAAAAAAAAGTCTTAGCTTCCACAAACTAATGAGTATTTTCAAATATAAACCTGAGAGTAACTTATAAACTCAAAAGGTATTAAGAAACCATGAAACAATTGTTCAAAACGGATCTCAAAACCACAATAAAATGACACAGCATCTACAGCTCTAACACACTTACATGGTTCTTGTTTGGTGGCCTTTTAACAGTGACTATCAGAACCACCATTCACACATTAGAAGAACCTCAGAAATGTAAATGACAAGACATGTAAACTAAAGCAAACACTGTACAAATATATGATTTTCAACCTCTGGTTTTAGAATAAAGTATGCTATCACTTAATACAGACATTGATCTAACGCATATTCATCTTTTTTGATACTAACAACGTGAGAGTCTGGAGTCTCCTGTTTGACCATTCTGGAGGACAAAGACATAATAAAAATATAATCATGTTTTAAGTACCAACACTGAGAAAAAGGTTGCTCATTCTAGTATCTTCTCATGGACAACATATCATAACACGGCTCACAGTAGATGATAGAAGGCAAAAGATAATGGAAACTGAACACAGAGTGAGTCAGAACACTAAATTAATCCATTGGCCATAAAGAAGTACACGAACACATTCACCCCCTTCATTTCTCCCTAGGTACCACTTACATATACACCAGAAAAAGGGGGAATTATCAGGATATAACATGCTGCAGTTGGGAGTATAATGGCTTTGGTGATACTCCTTTAGTGTTATAACACTCCTACAGTCAATTAATGTAATGACATGGTCCATGGGCAAATATATAACATCTGACTAGTTAAAGCAGTGCAAACCTGACCACTGGGACATAGCTGGAACACTCAGAACTTGCTACTATCAGTTTAATTAATTTCTGTTGAGAAGCAGGAAAAAGTGTTAACATTCTAATGTACCTGTGCATGGGTTTGTAACAGCACCAACATTCTTAAAAAATGGTTGCTTGAGCCACACAAAAGCTGTTTAAAATAGAAATCAGTGCATGATTCCTCAACTGTAGATCACAAAGATGAAACTTTCCATGCAACTACAAAAATACTCAAGTAGTACCTCCTGGCTTCTTAGAGAAAATACACAAACCTGAGAATCTAGTCATTCATTCTAGAATTAAAACTTAAAGAGCATAATTTGAGAGCCAGGACATCAAGCAATGAGTATACGTTCAGAATAGCTCATTAGTAGTTTCACTAACCATTTGCCAGCTTATTAATGGGTCAAGGATAGCAATAAACAGAATAGAAACAAAACAAAAATGAAAAATCTGAAGCCATCACTGAATTCTGAATTCTAATAAATTAGATGAGGTTAATGCAGAGAACACTTTTAAGATTGTAAGATTTTAAGACAAAAATGGTTAAATACATCTCATCAGAAAATTCCAGATTTATGACAAAAATAAACACTTTAAAGGTCACAGAACAAAATTAAATTTTGTGAAGTTAAAAGAACATTTTAAGTTTACCTGTACAATTTTCACCGCTGCTGTAACAAGGAGTATCTTTCTCTTCCTTGTTCTGCTCTTCTTCCTCTTCTTGCTTCTGCTGCCCAGGTTGATACTCAAAACCTTTTCTAATCACAGGCTTCAAGTCATCATCTTCACCATCCATCTCACAGGTGGGTTCCAGCTGTGGCATGGGTCGCTCTTCATCTGAGTTATCAAATGGCTCATTCAACACCTCTGTTGTTTCAGAAATCGTCTCTGTTGTGACACTGCTATTTATTCTTCTGCGTTTACGGCCCCTTTTCTTTTTCAGTATGAAAGGTCTCTGAAAAATAATTCCACAAATATAACTCTTCCTACATTCCCATTTGTTAGCTGATTCTGGACATAAACTTCTGTAGATTGTGTTTACAACAATCTATTTACTCCTTCAAAAAAAACAACTTACATTGCATCAAATTCAAGTGTAGACAGAATCTAAAAATAAAATGTCTAAACATTTAAAATAGTTATGTATACATGTACACAAACATTTCTGTACGTGAAAAGTAAGAGTTGAATTTTCTTCACATTGCAGTGCCTTTTACCTTCTGTCAAATAATATTCCTAGCACTATTGCATGAATTGTACTTACACATTTTTCCTCTGTAGGTTTATAATTCCCCCAAAACCTTCACAAGTACCAAAGCTTATTTTTCTACATTTCTGGGTTCTGCTATTTTTAGAAATTAGCATGTGTATAGAAAAATAGATAACTGCAAAGAAGTACATGTCAAGAATCCTACAGTTGGCTGCTATAAAGAAGAAACTGTTCAAGATTGTTTTTCTATTATTATGCATTGTCAGAAATTTATAGTTAAAGTTTGCTCATTTAAAGTATAACCAAATTCCCTGATTCTCACCAGAGACATCTAAATACAAAGGCTAAAGCTGAGTGTTTTAAAATTTGGGCATTCTTATGCTTACTAATTTAAGCCACTCAAATAGTTGATTTTTCAAAGAAATGAAGAACTATTCAAACACCACAGTGACCAGAATTTAACATTTAGATCTCCTGCAAACTAGAAAAATATGGGTTAAAAAAAAAAAAAAAGAAGAAATCATTTTGGCTTAAGTGCATTTTTTCTGAAAAACAGTATTCCCCTTTTAGGAGTTACTATGTTAAAAACAATAAAAAGACAAACTCCACAAGCTGGAGTCCATCTTAACATGGAAACAGGAAGAACCATTGGAATACTGAACCAATACCAATGCCAAACAGCAGAGGGCAATCACTAGTTTCAAAATTAACAGGAAATTCTTATATTTTTTTGTGGCACTAGTGTTTCACAGTTCCATGAAAAATCCAAAACATAAAAAAATTAGATGGAAGGGGGGGGAAGAGAAAAGAGAAGTTGTTAAGTGTCCAAATAACACAGAAAGGATTAAAACAATCTAATAAATGTTTGCAAAAAACCAGATTGTTATTTCAGTGATAGTGATTTGATTGAAATCAAAGACAAATGACTTTATCCCAAACCAGTGAAGTAACACACCTTTCTTTTTATGGTCAGCGACTGTGGCTTTGTCAGTCGGGGAGGCGAACTCTGCTGATTCTCATCCCCACCATCCTCCTCACTGCTTTCCTTCGATTGCTCTGTGGATTGCCCTCGCTCCCCCACCACTGCCACACTTTCTGGAGATCGCAAATATTTGTTTTTGGATTGTACTTTTGCAGGTGATTGCCTACTATTAGTTCTTGAAGAGAATATTTCTTGCTCTTCCTTTTCCCAGCAGCTAGCTTGTTCCATCAGACGCTCAGCCTGAAGGGTTGAGGTTAAAATAACAGGTCACTGAAACAGCATTTACTTAGCTATATCCTTTATGTTCAGCTAAATAGTTAAAATAAGTCAACCCTGATTAGCACTGCTGGCTAACCTAGCAACAACATTTCAGCTGAATCATCTAGTAGCTCCTTTACAACAGTTAACAGATAACAAACCAAAGAAGATTGCATTTCATGGGATATTTAGCACCATTAATGATGCAGCGAATTGATTTAAGTCCTTTAGCACTACATTACATGCCCACTGACTGGATCACTTTGAGCAAGTTCAGAACACAAAGAATCGATTGACAGTGCAGCCCCTGAGCTCTGCACCAAATTTGATCTGATTACATGCTCTCTGACTACCTCTAGAGTGATAAATACAGCTTCATGACAACTGATTCACATGTTAGGTTTTCGTATTTTTAAGCCTGCATATTCATCCCCCCAAAGTTACCAAAGTTACTACACAGCTTCCAAAAATTGCGCATTACAGTATCAGTACCCTCTACTATCAAGCAGTGGTCAAAGTTAAAACTGCTCTATTTAAGACAGTCTAATGTTGAATATTCAGAGTGATGAAATTCAAAGGAAGAGAAATTAAGAAGTCTCTGATATTACCTCCTTTTCTGCTTCTCTTTCTTCTTCAGAAACTGCAGCGTTAGAAACTAACAAAGGAGTCCATCTCAAGCTTTCAGGATCTACTTCATTGATACGTGGATTTGCTTTCAGTTTCTCCATATGACTGGAAATCAGCTTTTCCCTTCTAATAATTACAAATCTACAATCAAATAAAGAGTAATTTAATTTAGAGAGTGACCATCTAAACCAAACTGCCTGTAGTCTACATCCTTTTGCAAATAACCTGTGAACATAGATGGCTAAATACATGGATACATCAAACTAAAACCACCAGCTGACACACAGCAGTAACACACACTACTGACTGTTTGCTGAGAGGAAGTGAGGAAACAACAGTTTATGAAGTGAAAGCTCAATATTAAACATCACCAGGGCAACAGAGAGGAAAGAAAAGGTTTTATAGTTGACTACTCTAAATCCATTCAAGAGGTTGAGTGCTGGCACTTCAGTCACTGCCAGAACAACTTCCAATTTTAATATTACATACGAGCACAGATAAACACTGTGGATCATTAAGTAAAGAGAGAGAAAAAGTAATATTACAACTGATGATGTCAGTTAACAGGACAAGAAAGCAAGTTAGAAACAGGTTTTCTAACGAAGCATTAAAATGTACTGTAGTCCTGTGCTAATGCAGTGCAAAACAACTTTTCAATTACTATGAAGTGACGCAGCATATCAAAAGTAGGTAAAGAGAAATGAAATAGCACAGTATGCTAATATACTAGCACTCATCCCACCCAAGTATCCTGTTGCAAGGAACTATACAATTCTAAACAACAAAGATCAGCAAGATTTTCAAAAGCTGCAAAAATGAGGTAGGTTAAGTAACAACATTGCTTTTCACTGACAGAGTTTTGAAAAAAACCCAAATCAGATCCAGGTGAACCCTTTTCACAGAATTGTGACAAACTCATACTTCACTACATGTAAGAAAAATTAACAAAATGTAGAAAATAATAAGAAGCCATACCAAATTCCCAAGGTAAGTGTCTGACAGGAATTCCAAAGATGTGATTTCCTGTCTCAGTCAGTGACCTTCTGGATACCTTCAGTCCAGTTCATGTCCCTGTCTAAGCTTTACTAACTCTGAAAAGAGACTGACCTTGTTCATAGAGTATTTTAAATGACATAGATGAAAAAACCTTATTTTCTAATTGGGTGTCAGTATTTGGGGCATAACTTGTTAATAACTTGTTATATGGCTGAAGCTGCAAATAAGTGATGAATACTTATTGGATTCTCCTTTAAAATGCATTTGTCCTCATGTTGTCCATAAGTAATTCCCTATAAAGTTAAGGTTTTAATGCAATGGCAGCACTCCTCTTACTACTCTCATCACACCACCCTGTAAGCCAATCTCCTTTTTGAAGATCTGCATTCCTACTAGTTCAAAAATTACTAGTTTTCAATACTAGCATTAGTGCACAAAAATATCATTCAGGCTAAGATATTCCTGATTTTATTATTTGGCAAACCAGTGTTCGTAAGGCAGTTTTGCTTAATATAAAGTTTCTATGATTGGAATACCCAGAAAGAACTAAGCAGCTCTTCAGAAACAGAAATACCATTGAGAGTAATTTAAGGTATTTTATGGGAAAAAAGAGCCCAAACAAGAAAAACAATCCACTTGAATTCTAAAACATCAGTCAAGATCATTAAGAAAGAAGATATTTACAAAACAAGAACTCACCTTTGCAGTGCGCTAACATTCAACATTGAATATCATTAAATAAAACTTGTACTACCAATACCTTGAGCAGGAGGACTTCGTGTAGAGCTGATGTGATCCCATGGTTTGCATGCATTCAGTAATGACTGAACCAGGGGGTGTGGAAAAAGACTGCCATCCACCAACCCAAATTTTCCCCTTACTGGTATTCAAAGCAAGATATTTGCAAAGCAAGAGTTGGGAACTGTACTTTACAGAAGACTACACTGAAAGAAACAAAATTCTTAACTGAAAATGTTTCAAGCCAGCCACATCCTTCTAATGACCATTGACATCAAAGAGGATCCAAAAAATCACCAGGAAGAACTCTTAATGTAACACCCCATTAAAAAGATCTGTTTGTACAGACTTCTTCAGTAAGATGGCTATCCCTCATTTCAAAGTCAGACTTTAAGACAGACATTTCACATCAACTGTTTTGCAAGTAGAGAATGTTTTTAATAGTGGGGTTTTGGGGTTTTTTTCTTTACAAGATTCACTGACCTATCTTCTCTTTTATCTATCATGCTATGTTGTTGCAGGGTTGTGGCAATATCATGTGGACACATTCCAGTAGCTCGACTCATTCCTTTGATGCTGATTTGTTTTTCATGGTGGCAGTTCAGGTATTCCAATATGACACTTTTCCAATAGGCCAAGTATGAGAGACGACCCAGGTCAGACAATGGCTTTTCAGGGGATCCTGCTTGACCCTCTCTTCTAGAAAGTAAATAGCCTAGAAGAAAAATATACAAAATACCTTATGGAGATAACAAAATTAAGGAATTTAACTAGCCCTTAAAAGTGGGAATTAATACAAAGATCAGCATGACTGATTACACTATTGGTAACTCTTGCAATTAAAGAAATCCTATCCATAAAAGAGATTAGTTTTCATCATTACAGTGACACAGGAAAAGATCAAATCCTTGTAAGAGACTCAGATCTTGCATTAAAAGAATCGAACACTAACCAAACCCCCTCTTCTAGTCACCAGGCAAGAAAGAGAGAAAATGCCAACACATTTCAGAACAGGTCCCATCATACATGATCTCATTTAGAACTACAAATGTTCCGCTTTTTGACAGACTTTTACACCTGAGCTACATCACTGAAGCCAAGAATTTTCAAAAGCATCTCAAGAGGAAGTATCACGGGTAATATGCGTTAAGTCATTTTTCTTCAAGAAGCCCCAGGTGACATAAGTTTTTGATTAAACAGCAATTGTATTTCAGAGGTAACACATAATTCACAAGATGAATTACTAGGAGAATTAGTTAGGAGAAATAATTAAAAAATAATCTCCCTTAATTCACATTTAAGAACATTCACATAATTCCTGCTTGCAGTCTTCAAGACAGTAACTGATCCACTATTACACAATATACCACCTTCATTTTATATTCTACGTATGTTGTAAGCCCTTTTTAACTCTGCAGCTTTAAGAGGCTTTTACAATTTAAAGTAGAACACACCTGCTTGGAGATAACAGAAGATGCCACCAGTAAAACTAATTCAGGATAGAGAAAAAAAATAACACAATTAATAAAATGTTTCCTTTCACAGTCATTCATCCCTCCATGATACAAGTTCTGCACTGTGCATTAACAAACACCACCAAAACATGGGCCTTAAACACCAGGCTTATAAAATGTTTACTCCACAATAAGCACAGACATCATGTTCATGAAATTACATACTCAAAGTTATTTGGAATCCATCAACACATACAGTTCTCGTGTGTCCCAGTATCTTAAATACTCCCTCCCCCAAGTTTTCCACTCCTTTTATTTTTAAAGATCGCTTTAAAACATTCCTAGTACAGCCATGACAATTTCTTAAACAAAGCCTCCTAACCTCTTTACCAAGTCTCTCCTACACAAGCTAGCTATAAATTAAAAACACATGATTAACACCCAGGTTTAAGTAAAGTCTCCTTATTTTGCTATATGGTCTCCACATACAAACTGCATACACAGAGCTATTTTATTATGATAAAAGCATGAAATAATAATAATAATAATAATAA